GAACTGAACATGGCACAAAGGAATAAAATTTCCTTTTTTAGGTGAAGAAACTTCTCTTAAGGAAGATTGTGATGATGGTTATAGACCTTTGTAAATATACTGAAAATACTGACTTGCTTAGATAAGATAAGAGAAATTTATATATATAAATTTATCTCAATAAAGCTGTTTAATAAAAGACAGCCAGGGTGCTTTGCAGAGGAAACAAAGATTTGATGAGTTCTGAAAGGCACCAATATTTGGCTCATTAAGGGAGCACATGCCCTTGACAGGCTTCAGGCATCAGATTACTGCAGTTTCTTGTTTTCAGGAAAGGAAAAGGGGATCATTCCTGTTTGGGTCCTTTTAAGTTCTTATTTCTTTCCTTGTTTGCAGATTATATGATTCTCTAAGAGCCCTGGAAGACTCAACCTAAGGACTTTTAGATTCGATAAATATTTTCAGCAAATAACAAGATAGTAAAAACAATATTTTAAAAAATGAGTATCTTTTTTTATAAACAACAAACTCTCTTAAAACGCAGTCAGAAAACAATTTCATTCCCTTTATTCAAAATATCTAAACATAAATTTAATCAAAAATGTTAAAAGTTTCTGTAATAAAAACTAATAAGGCAGCAAAAGAAGAAATTCTAGATGATGCTAGAGATTGGATGACTTCTCAAGGTCTTGGATTAGTTAAGTACTTTTAAAGTGGTAACGTTTTTAAAAAGTGATCTAAGATTCAATATAGTTCCCATAAAATTCCAGTGACATTGTTCATAGAAACAGAAAACTTTGTAACATTCATATTGAAACACAAAAGAGAAGATAGAACAAGTAAGAAAGAAGAGCCCAATTGGAGGTGACCCTACATTTGGCTTCTAACTATTCTACAGAGCCATAGTGACAATGCAAAATTGGGTTGCTCACAAAAATAGACAAACAGAATAATGGAATAGATGAGAACATCCAGAAGTAAAAGCAATAAGCCCATTCAAATACAAACAAAGGTGGCAAAAATATACATTGGCAAAAACAGCTACAGTACCAAATGGTACTGGGTGTCAAATGTAGAAGACAATCTTTATCCCCACCTTTTACCTTGCATAAAAATAAACTCAAAAGGGATCAAAGGCCTTAATATAAGTTGAAAATTTTAAACTACCATGGGAAAACATAGAGGACACACTTCAAACTGTAGGCATAGAAAATGTCTTTCTGGGGCTGGAGAGACGACCCAGTGGTTAAGAGCATTTACTACTTCTTCAAGAGTACCTGGGTTTGGTTTCCATACTGGTGGCTGTGAAACTCCAGTTCCAGAGGATCTGATGTTATCTTTTGGCCTCCACAGGAATTGTGCATATGTGGTACACAGTCATACATGCAGAGAAAAGGTCTATAAATGTCTCCATCAAATTCTTCCCTCAGAGCTCAGGGAACCCTGCAGAAGGGGAGGTAAAAGAGCCAGAGGGGATGGAGGACAGAAGGAGAAAAGTCTCCTTAAATTAACTGGGTGAAGCTGATCTGAACTCACAAGCACTGAAGCAACAAGCACAGGGCCAGCATGTCTCTTCACCAGGTCCTTTGTGTATATATTACAGCTTTCAGTTTAGTATTTTCATGGGACTCCTGAATGTAAGAGTGAATGGGTCTCTCATTCTTTTGTCTGCTCTTGGGGTTTTTGCCCTTCTGTTGGGTTGCCTTGCCCAGCCTCAATGTGATGGCTTTTGATTTATCTTATTATATTTTATTTTGCCATGTTTTGTTGTTATCTCTTAGAAGGTTTTTTTTTTCTCATGAGACACAAAGGGACTGTATCTGGATGGGAGGGGAGATGGGGAGAAACTGGGCAAATAGTAGGAGCAGAAACTATAATCAAGATATATTGTATGAGAAAAGAATCTATTTTCAATAAAAAAAGAAAAAGCTTTTTAAAAAGAAAGGAAGAAAACGACTTTCTGAATAACATTCCATTAGCTCCAGTAATAAAAACAAGCACTGGTAAATAAAATTACATAAAATTACAAGGCTTGTGTATTACACTCCGGTCTCTCTTCAGATCATATCAATGTTTTGCCTTTTACAAAGCTTCCACAGAGCAAAATAAACAATCAGAAAAGTGAAAAAAAATGGTTGTATAATGAGAAAAGAAGTGACAGGATGAGGATTAATATTCAGAATATATAAAGAGTCCATATACTAAACATGGAAGATTAAATCTTCCAGGGAACACATGGGCAAATAAACTGAACAGACATTTTTCAATTAAAGAAAAATTCACGTGGCCAATAAATACTCTAAAACTTTTAAGAATGTTAGCCACTTGCAAAATACAAATCAAAGCAACATTGAGATTCCACCTCTCCCCACTCTGGTGATCCTGAAAAAAACAAAAAACAAGAAATATTGACAAGGGTGTGGTCCTTACTCATGGCTAGTGAGATGTGAATTAGTCTATTCATGGTGGAAATTTAGAATTTTCTGAAAGGAAAATAAAAAAAATACTTCTATGATTCAGCTCTCTAGTGTTCATTGGAAATATACCAAAAGAACCAAAGTGAACTCACTATGGAGACACTTGCATTTACTGCGGTATTATTCAAAACAGTCAAATTATGTGCAGCTTGGTGCTTGCAATAAATGAATAAATAAAATGAGAGACGTGTAGAGTGGAATTTTATTCAGACATAAAGAAGAAGCCATGATATTTGGGGAAATACGCATGAAAATAGAGAGAATCATGTTAAGAGAAACAAGCCAGTCACAAGAAAAGAGGTATCATGTACATTTCCCATCAAAAGAAGAAGAAAAGACCACAAAAAACAAAAGTGGTGGGTATTTATTTTTTTAAGAAAATGGAATGGAAAAGGGGTGGAGGAGAAGAAAACAGAAAGACAATCCAGGGATGAATATGATCAAAGTTATGTGCACATATGGAAATGTTACAGCAAATCTCTTTACATCAAATAATGAATATCCTTAATGAGAAAATGAATATAGATAAACAGAAAAAAAAAAGGAAAGAAATAAAAGGTCTCTGAATGTACATCCCAGCCCAAGGGACACAGTTTGTTTGCCACTAGAGGGCACTATTACGCCATCACCCTTTCAACCACTCCTTGATGCAGAATCCAGGAACACAACCAACGTACAAGTTATTCATGCCTATGATCTTGGACTACGATCTGTTGGACTGAAATGAAGAGAAATTCTGGAGAACTTCAACATTCATGGGCTAACTGTAAGTCATCATTGCTGGTCTCATATGGGTCTTGGTAGGCTTGACGTTAGGGACCATGGGAGACATGTCCTTGAGCTAAAGGTTAAATCCAACCTGGCTCCTGAGTGCAGAAGTTCATATTCTGCAGCTGTGGAGGACAGGACTTAGAGGATGTGGTGTTTATGACCTGAATAAAAGTGAGAAAAGCCTTATGCAGTGATGGCAGAGGGCATGACTGAACACTGATATGTGGTTAAAAATGAACCACATGCCAAATGGAAACAAATGAATAGCAACAGAAAAGAAACCAAACACAAAGGAACAAACAAAGGTATGCTCAGTCCCACTAACACCCCTCCCCCCAAAAAAACCCCTGAAATCCAAATTTTTTGTAAAATCTGAAATTACTTGGAGGTTGACATTGTGCTACATGTCGAGAAATCCAGACAGGACCTCACCTTCCAGAGCTCAGTCTGAGAACAAATTGAATAAAGTATGGGTGAAGTATTCCTATTACTTCCAGGATACTTGTTTATGAATGCATGATATGGACATTTCACATACTACAAAACTTTTGTGTTTAGAATTAGATGTTCTACTCAAGATACTTTATTATGCATGCAAAACTATTCCTAATTTAAAAAGGAACCTGAAATCTTCAGTACTTCTGGTCACTAGCATTATGAATGAGGCATACTGAGTAAAAGAAAATCAGAAAGGTTACTGATAGACTTTCAGAAAGACCAGAATAGTTTGAGCCACAGACTGCAAAGCACCCATCTAAATCAGAAAATGGGGATTGGGATTGCCAAAGATCTGAATATAAGACAAAGGCCTGGTAAGCTTCCCTCTTGCGGCTTGAATAGGTTATTACCCAGCTTTAGTAGAATTCTTTTGAAGACAGTCAAATGAGCAAAAGAAAAAGGCCATCTTTCATAATTTCCTACAGATACCTCTAACAGACAAGCTGTTGGAAGAACTGCTGTCTATTGGAACCCCAAACATTAAAATGCTATGTATTTAGAGTGCTTTGAGATTTCCAGATTTGGGGAGAGAATAATCAATAATCGATTCATCATTTAATTTATTCATAAGGAATTGGAATTGGAATTGTTCCTACAAATGTGTGATGAAACAGGTGCTGGAGGACTGATGGGCCTCTGTGCACTTGACAGGAAGCTTACAGGGAATGGTCTGTGAGCATGGTGTCTTCTCAGGGGAGAACGTGAAGGAGTGTCCTTTATAGCTGGCTGGAGAGCGATTCAGTGCTGCTGACCTGTGGTCTGTAGCTGCAAGAGGTTTATGATGTCCATATAGTCTCTTGCCCTCGTAAGTTGAAGATTAACAGGTTTTATTGCTACTGTCACTATTGCTGTTGCTCTTGGCCTTTTTATTGGTTGCTGAATTTATTTGGGTGGAAATTCACACACGAGTTCAAGGTAGCGAATCTTTCTGAGCAGTGTGTGCTTGTTTGTGTGTTGGGGGGAGGTGCGGTAGAAGTAGGGAAGGTCAGGCTCACTTCAATGACTAGGCGACTCTTTGAGAAAGAAATTAATCTAATAATGCTTTCCACATAGAGATCAGAGGAATTCTGTCCTTATTATAGAAGTTACAAAGTGTTTTATATTCTGTTTTCTGGACAGATTTGTGTAGCATTGGCTCCTTTGTTTCTTGTTAAGATGTATTTCATGGGTGTTCAGTCCTTGCTTGTATTACTCTTACTTCAGAGGAAGTTTGTTTCCAAATGGCAGAAACTCTAAGAGAATAACAGAAAGGTTCACACTTTTACAATCACCTACCTGGGAAAAGCAACAACAGCTTCCATGCCCTTGATCCCATTGTCCTTTTCCATATATCTCTGAAGGACAAACAGACACAAAATGAAAGCAGAGATACCAAGCCTTAATCTTGCTTTGAGTTACTGTGTGAGACCCGAGTAAAGAGCTAATGTTTTTACTTAAGGCAGCCTCTGAAGGTTCCTTTGAATAGTATAGACAAGGGGAGGGCATTTGATCAGATCCTTTTAGCAAGGTACTGGCCACAGGAGTGTACTCAGAGTTCTTAAACAAAATAGGTGAAATAATTATGGGAAAAGACTGGTCCTCCGAATCTCTGTCTACCAGATTACTCTAATCTATGGCTTTTGGCTGGGTCTTCTTAGAACTCTATGGCCCTCAAAAAGTCTAGGCTCTAAATATGTGGAACAGAGAAGATGCAGCTCCTTGTATGACTGACTTACAAAACATTGCTTTTTCATAAAGAGGTGGGGAGTAAGAAGAAAATATACAGGGTAACCATGAACTTAGATTCATAATGATATCTGAGACCTGAAAAACATCTGGATGCCCTGAGGATATTGTGAAGGTACATGATTGGTTAGGACAGCTAAAGGTGACCAATGGTTCATAAAGAAGAATAAAGTGCTAATATTACCAAGAAGACAAAGGGCTGAAGGAATTCCCCATAGCCAGTGGCTCTCTGTTTCCTACAACTTCATTTTAGTCTGGCTTTGTTTCCTACATTGTTTTGAGGCTATTTTATTAAGCCCATGGATCCCTCAGACAGGTATATAGCAACCTGGTGAAATAAAAGGTGAAAAAGTATTTGCTACACAGTGGAGAAAGAGAAGAAAAGATTGCCTGCTGTGGGAATGAAACCCCAGGTTTGTATATACTCCTATTCTCCCCCCACCACCTCAGTTCTCACAAGTGGGGGATTATGGGAAGCAGAAGCCTAAAGGGGAAACTCAGAAGAAAAGACGGAACCCTGCCTGGTGTGCTGAAAAGATCTATGAAGATGCAGGTGGAGAGAGGTTGGTGATGCCTCTGGGCTACGGAACGTAAGTTTCCATTCCTGAAACTCTAGAATCACACAGCCACCGAGGGGGGAATTGTGGGCCTGTGATGCATGGCTCCTTACCTCCTTGTTCACTTTTCATTCCTAACACGGGGGCAAGAGTCAGAATTCATGTGCCATTTCCAGAGTTGGATTGGGTAAGTTGGAGTTTAGATGACTCAGCCTGGCGCGCAGCAAGCACATACTAAGCAATGGGTATTACTTTGTTATGAACTATCCTTGTCACTAGAAGGCTTCTTGGTGCCACGACAGGATCAGCTGTGTCCATGTGGCTGCAATCATTGACCACAGACAACAGAAATGGGACTGGGAAATAAACTGTAGCTTGGCCCCCAGAGCTTTGGATTTCTGTCACAGCTATAACATTTTCCAGCTGCATCTTACAGAAAAAATTCCCTGGACCTTTTTATATTTCAGTTTCCATGTCTGTGAAATAAAGAAATTATACTAAAACCTTAGGTAAGTGGAAGACTGGATTGAAACATCAACACACTGAACCACTGTGTTATATGTGAACCATGTCTTATTATTTATAACAGAGCTTTCCTATCCTTCCTTTTCTTTGTACTTCTCACACCCGTGTTTCTAGCCTCAGAAGCCAACCTCAGTGTGCTGCTGTGTGCTCATCATCATGAAGATAAGAGCTGGCTAGTGTTTCTAATTTGCCTGTTTTGATGACCTCTAATAAATTTGTCACTTCAAACTTTCTGCAGAAGAAGTGTGGGTTACTCACACTCTTGAACACCTCATCTTTCTTACTCCCTGTGTCTGTGGCATTGGAGTGGCTTGGGGACACAATTTCAGAGCCCGCAAAGCAGGCTTGTCACTTAGAAAGAAGTTTCAGGTCACTTCGGAAACCAGGAACAAGGCAGGCTGTGCAGTCATTGCAGAGGGGTGGCCGCAGGTCTCTGTGTCTGGTTGATGCATTCTCCTAGAGTAGACAGATCTGTGTGAGTCCCTGGGAAGGAGAACATAAGCGGAGAAATCCTTTTAGCCTAGGGGAAGAACTGCAGTTGCAGACTGAGAGTTTGTCTACAGTTCAGGTAATATCTTGCCATTCAACTTGTACCTGTTCTTGAAGTCTCTCAGATCCATTACTCTGAGGCAGGTGTACAGGGATTCATCTGTCACAACCTGCATCTGGCATCTTGAAGTGACTATAAAGCACAGAGACTATTTTTAAAACACATATCCAGCACTCAAGGACCCAGAATAGTCATACCTATAAAAATAGATCTTATTGGAGACTAATATTCAGTCCTCTGTTGATAATGCCCATTATTGTACTGGTTCTCATCATGCACAGTACTGGGAATTCTTTTTGGCATTGCTCCAGAGGCAATTATACAGTACAGGAAAAAAAAATGAGCCTCTTACGTTTGTTTGCCAAATTGTATTGTTCAATTTTATCAACCATGTAATTTATTTTTTTCAAAAAAAATAGATAAAATGTTTTATGTCTGTTAATCCCTGAACCATGTGTTCTACAGCTGCTCTTAAGGTGGGGACAGGTATCCTGGGGATAATCCCTGGGTTCTGGTTGTTATTCCAGTAAGCTTCTCAGTGGAAATTCACACTCAGAATTGTTTAATTCCAAAGTCAATAAACTTTCCATTAAGGCAAAGTGATTGTTTCCAAAATTTCAATTCATCTTTAAATGACCAAAAATGTCAGAAAATGTGCTGTAGGGAAATTTAAAAGTGTTTTATGAAGGTAGAATCTGGTTTTGTATTTAAAAATTAAGTCAAGTGTTTGGAATAAATTTATGTAGTTACATAGTGTATAAATATGTATAAAGAAGGTCTGATCTTTTTTTTTTGCCATGTTTCATGTTTATTTAGGAAAAGGAGTTTTGCTTCAATCCCAACCTATGGGTTTTTCATTTATGCAGTCATTTCTCTCTTAAGTGCTACCCCCATCTCTGCAAAGTGTTTACGATATGTCCTTTTTAAAGGATATATCTAGTTGCTTGCATATTTCTTAATTGGTCAAGAGGTAGCTAATTGAGCCTTCATTAGTTCCAGACACTAGCAGGCCAAGTGTCTGGTATGTTCCCATCTGATGCAGAGAAGACTGACTCCTTGAGCATCCTTCTTATAGTCATTTGAATGATGATTGGATAGCCTTCCTTCTCTATGACATCATTGATCAACTTGCTCATCATTCATAATAGGTCAGACTTGATGAAGAACTTCAAGGTACAGAAACTGTGCCCCAAAGTGGGACTTCATGATCCCAATTAGCTGATATAATCAGACTCATGCAAATGGGATGAAGGAATATGTGTAATGCTTCTCAAACAGAATGTGCTCTACAGATACTGACACATTACATTTCTTATTTTCGTTACCTACTTTGTGACTCCCATGCATATGTGGGGTAAATGAAGTATTAGTTCAGGTAAAATAGTCTAAAGGAACATGTGTATCTAGTCCTGTAGATAGTCTGAGCTTTATCTCAGAATCACTTAGTTTTTTTTTAAGTTCCATAAGCACTCTCTTGAGCAGTGAGTTTCTTCTCTGCTCCATTAAACTCTGGGGCTTTATAAGTCATCTTCCAGAGTTGCCTTAAGGGTTTAATGGTTTTAAAAATGGTAATTCTTTAATACAGCTCCTGACACTGGGATAGAAAGCATACATGCTACATTGGAAAGACAATGAGTCTAGGGCATGTATCTGACCCTTGTACAAATTCCAGGTTGATGGCTTGCTAGATATTTGATCCCATGAAAGTCATTATCCTTGGGATGGTTAGTTTTAATTGCCAACTTGACAAAACTTATAATCACTTGAGAAAAGTCTCGGTGAGTTTCTATCTAGATCAGTTTGACCTGTGGGTATGTCTGGAGGACTGCCTTGAATGCTTTAATTGGTGTGGGAAGACTCAGACAAAAAGTGTGCAGCACAAATCCCTGGTTAGGGGCCCTAAACTGTATAACAGTAGAGATAGCTCTATAAGTTCATCATATACACTGTGCAGAACAGAGAAATAAGTGCATACACTGTGGATAGGATGTTGACCAGCTGCTTCCAATTCCTGCTTTGACATCCCTTCTATGAATGTGGAATTGTGAACTAAATAAACCTTTTACCCCTAACTTGGTTTTTATTAGTGTATTTTTAATAACAACAGCAATGAAACTCCTTATTACACACATACAAACATGTATATCATAGAAAAATAGATGACTGTACAGTGTATATGCATATATAGGAACATACATGCAAATATGTACATATAGCTATATGTTCAGAAGCTTGCCTTTCTTAATGACAAACACACACACACACACACATATATATATATATATACACACACACACACATGTTACATAGTTCCAGTTCTTTTTTACATCACCATAACAAAGGTGAAATATTTATTTGGACTTATGATTTCAAAGGAATTTTAGTCCATCATATCAGAGATGACAAGGAACAATGGCAGGAGCGTGAGGTCAAGGCTTATTTATTTATTTATTTATTTGTTTATCTATTTATCTATTTATTTATTTATTTATTTATTTATTTATTTATTTATTTATTTATTTATTTTGGTTTTTCGAGACAGGGTTTCTCTGTGTAGTTTTGGTGCCTGTCCTGGATCTTGCTCTGTAGACCAGGCTGGCCTCTAACTCACAGAGATCCACCTGGCTCTGCCTCTGGAGTGCTGGGATTAAAGGCTTGCGCAGCCATCACCCGGCAAGGTTTATTCTTATGACACCAGAAAGGAGGCAGGGCAGATTAGACTAGCAAAAGAGCTTGGTACACCTTCAAAGACCCATCCCCAGAGACCTACTTTTATTAGCTGTGGTGGATATTTTATGTCAACTTGACACAAGCTATAGTCATCTGAGAGGAGAAAGCCTCAATCGAGAACATGTTTCCATAAGATTGGGCAGGCCTTTAGGATTCTTTGTAAATTAGTAAATGTGGGAGGGTCAGAACATTTTGACTGGTGCCACCCTAGGCTGGTAGTCCTGGGTTCTATAAGAAAGCAGGCTGAGCAAGCCATGAGGAGAAAGTCAGGAAGTAGCTCCCCTCCATGGCCTCTGCATCAGCTCCTGCCTCCAGGTTCCTGCCCTGCTTGAGTTCCTATCTTGACTTCCTTCAGTGACTGAGAGTGATGAATAAGCCAAATAAACCCTCTTCTCCCTAACTGTCATCATCATAGAGCCCTTCTCCAGTAATGATGGAAGCAGATGCAGAGATCCACAGCCAAACACCAGGTTGAGCTCCACGAGTCCAGTTGAAGAGAGAGAAGAGGGATTCTATGAGCAAGGGGGATCAAGATCATGACAGGGAAACCTACAGAGACAACCAAACCAAACTAGTGGGAACTCATGAAATTCAGACTAACACCTGTGAAGCCTCCATGGGACTAGACTAGGCTTTGCATAAGGGAGACAGTTGTGCAGCTTGATCTACTTAAGGAGCCCCCAGGCAGTAGGATTAGGATCCATTCCTGGTGTATAAGAGGGCTTTTTGGAGCCCACTACCTATGGCAGGACACCTTGCACAGCCTTGAGGCAGGGGGAGGGGCTTGGACTTGCCTCTACTGAATATACAAGGTTCTGCTGACTCACAGTGTCAGCAGACACTTACCTTCTTGTATGAGGGAATGGGGGGGATGGTTTGGGAGGGTGGCTGGAGGGGTGGGAGGAGGGAAGAGGAGAGTCTATGATTGGTATGTAAAATGAATAAAAAATTTCTTAATTAAAAAAAAAACACTGCTTTTCTCCCCAAGTCATAGTATTTCTCCCCAAGTCATAGTATTTCATCACAACTATAGTAACCCTAACTGGGACACTAGCCAAGCCTCACCTCCTAAAGACATGACAGCATTCAAAATAGTGTTATAAGCTAGGGACCGGCATTCAGACCATGAACTTGTGAGGAAACATTTCATAATCAAACCATGAACAGTAGGGAGGAAGAGAAAGAGAGAGATTATGAATATGGGTACATTGACATGTGAATCAACTGAAAAATCAATTTTCTGTTCTTTAGTTTTTTTTTTTTTGAGAGTTTCATAAATGTGTTTAATGTATTTTAGATTTTCTTCCAACTAGGAAATTTCCTCAGCATGTGTCACTGTGGGCTTCTTTTGTTTTGTTTTGTTTTGTTTTTATTGAGAGAAGAGATAGAGGTAGTTGCACCACAGTCTTCATACCAGGAAAAGACATCTCATCCTAGGTCATCTCTTACTCCCCAGAACCACATTCCCACTCCACCTTCTCCATGGAATCCTTTAACTATCTCTGAGTGACAAATGAGATTAAAAACATCTTCCAAATCTCATGGTGATTTTTTGAACATAAAAATAAGAAAAGCATCGGGAATCTCAGGTTGTCTTCCACACAGCTGTCTCTACTCAGTAACA